TTCAAGTATCTTTCAGGTAATCTTGGGAGGCTGATTATAAGGAAATCATGTGGATGGGTCCATCTTAGCGTTAGAGGCTTTGTTTATTTTTCATGTTAACATTATATTTCTAAGCAGAACAATAATTGCTTGTTCTGTTCTTAGTAAGTCATAAAGTTTTGTTTTCCTGATTTGAAAACAACCCTGGATTTCTCCTCAAATGAGTTTTATGCATTCACATTATGAAACTTTCATTCCTTTTAACAGTTGATAATGCCTGGGAAAATAAGTCAATTAAAGGTTGCTGAAGTACTGAGGTGTGCGGTTCTGTTATAACTGAATCCAGGAGTGTCACCAGGCTTAATGAGATAATTTGTCTCTACCAGTATAGGGTTGTTTTTCATGCTCTGTATTCATTAGCCTTTTACTTAAAAACTGCTCAAGTTACAGTACATCTTCCCGAAGGAAACATCCTCATTAAAATAGCTAACTATGTATAAGAAAAAGTAACTTCTGGTGTCTGAACTACGTTTTATTTTGTATACTTTTAGCCAGTTGTTAGGAAACATGCTTTTTGAACCTGGACAATTGCCATTCTTAAATTTCAGAATTTTAATTTGGTTTCAGGCTGGTTTTAATTTATGTAGTAGTTTTGTAATGTAAGCACTAGTTAAAATTATTCTAATTAATATGTGGAATATTAATTTATATGCATGCAATGAAACATTCAATACTATATTTAATAGGGTCCAACTATAGCTGGGCTTATGTATTTGCCATACATTAGCATCACTTAATTTATATTTTGGGAACCCCAGTCTGCAAAGTTTATAGTTTTTAAGTTAAGCACAGGCATGATTTCTATGATTTCTTCCAACTTCCCCCCCCCCCCCCCCCCCCCCCCAGTGCCATCAAGTGATTTTGTTAATTTTTTTTATTCTCCCTTTTAGGAAGGATAACCCTACCTTTGATTTTTCTGATACTTTGCATGATTTCAGCAATCCTTAATAATTAACTGAAGCCTTTGTATCTTGTATTTGATAGAAATATGAAAGGATCTGCCAGATTGTAATTTATTTCTTAAGACAGCACCTTCTGGATTTAGCTCATTACATGAGACTCTGCTTAGATCTCTGGAAAGTTGAGCAGTGGATCTAAAACTTATTGTAAGATTGAGAAATTCTCATTGTTTCCCCCAAAGAGATGAGTGTCTCAAATCCCAGGACATTGGTGAAGTCCATAGTGCTGGTGGTTATAGATTCAGTTTTAGATTTGTTGCGCTAGGATTTCGAGATATCCAGATATGTTTTAGTTTTCTGTCTTTTATAGATTATTGCTGTATAGGAGAACCAGGTACTTTGTTAAAGAAACGAGCTAACGAATTACTGTTGGTAACAAATATTAAAATGAGATAGTAAATACTTGCCAGATGTGCAGTCAAGTAGCTGTTGCATTTATGTCAGCTGAAAACAGGCTCCCAGCCCTTTTGTAATTGCGATTGCACTACCATTATGTCACCCTTTCACTGTCAAAGACTGAGTTTCTAGCATCATTCTCCTCTTTACTGATGTGATCCATTAAGCAATTGCTCTTCTGAAAACTTCTGAACCTTTGCACTTTGTAGCCTGCTTTACTCTTTTCTCTCTTGCTTAAACTTACTGCTCTAGGGTGAGTACTTAAGGAGTTTCTTGACCACTGTCCTGATGAACCAAAACCTCTGAGCCTAAAGACAGGGAAGCCTGGTGGGTGAAAACAGAGAAGAAAAATTTTTTGAACAAATACCTTTAATGTTGTAGCCTCCTTTTCCTCCCTCACACACATGTGCATGCACATACGTGTCAGGGAAACAGAAGTATGTGGATTTCAATAGAGAAAATGCCTAGAAGCCAGTGTACTTGGAAAAAGTAATTGAATTTCTCAATCTTATGTATGTTTGTTAAATTAAAAGAGACTTTCAGATACTTTGGGTCAGGAAACATACTGGGAAGGTCTCTGTTTCTCCTAATTCTTTCCATTATGTTTGTTTTTTCTTTTTACAGGCAAATTTAAAAGGCAATTTTGCTGTCCTGCAATTTGAGGATCATAATTGATTTAAATCTTGTTTTTCATTTCTTTTAATGGATTTTCCTTTCAAATGCTGACTTTCTTCCCCAGTCCTTGACATATTTCTAAGAATTTTTACCTTAAATGTTTTTATTAATGTTAGCATGCTTAAGAAGGTTGCCAGAGATGTGAAGGAACAGTGGGCTAAACGTCACTTGTCCGGAGAAAAGCTTCTGTGCAGTTCATGATGGTTTTTCTTTTTCATAGCACTGTTAACCAGAGGAGGATGTTGGTGAATATTTTTGATGGAAAGTGAGTCTTGGAGAGTCAGCCTTTTTCAGGAGGAATCTTTCTCTTTGAACTGTGAAACATTTGACACAGAGTTGATACATGCCTGTATAGGTATGTGCACATTTTGTACAAAGGCTATAATCAAAGTTTTTTAAGTTAGGCATTCAAGCACTCAGAAGTTTTGGATGTACCACTTCTTTTTTCTTTGCTCTTTGGTATTGAGCCTAGGGCAGGAGCCTTCCAGAGTAAAGGAATATGATTCCAGATGGTTTCATGATAAATGTATACATCAGAGCTAAACTAAGATTGCACTAGTAACTGTAAATCTGATGTTTTCAGCACTGTGAGACTTCATTTTTTAAATCTTTTACTGTATCTTTTTGTGGATAATTTTGTTTAGATAAGTTTTATTACATACTGCTGAATATATTTAGGAGCAGGATCAGTTTTCTCATGAGCTGTTGTTGAACTTCATGATTATTAGAATTTTTAAACATATGAACAGTAGTTGAGGAATATTGTATGCTATTCAAGTGGCTCCCATTTTCTTTGCATCAAACAAGTAGGGATTATTTTTCTTCAACACCAGCTCTTTAAATAAGCATCTTAGTTCTTTGTCATAGAGATGAGTTTAAAAACCTAATTCCTAATAGCTGCTGAAGGTTTATAGCAGTTCTAGCGTATTTGTGGATCTAAAGTAATTTGGAAGCTGAATACTTGGTTCAGGCATGATTTCCTGCATATCTATGGATTTAAAGTAATTTGGAACCTGAATAGTTATTTCAGGGATGATTTCCTTCCATGGTTAAAGGAGCTCTACTGTTCTGCTGTTCTTCCCTACCAGCAAAACTCATTATAGATTGTGTTCCTAAGGTTTTTTAGCCATAGCACTGCAGTTTTCTCTCCATTTAGACCACGGCTGTTTCTTATTTATCTATGAAAAGTGTTGCAATTTTTTTTTTTTCTTAAAAGTGATTGAAAAAATAAACTCATTGGCCCAGTTCATCCTCTGCTTCTGCATTTGCTTGTACAGCAGCTCTCTGCTGTTCAGCTGGAGGCATCTGTGCCCACTGCAGCTACCCAGACTGGCAAAACCCATTATTTTAGGGTTGTCACAGAATGGTTTGGGTTAGAAAAGACCTTAAAGATCATCTAGTTCGAACTACCCTGTCATGGGCAGGGACACCTTCAACTAGACCAGGTTGTTCAAAGCCCCATCCAGCCTGTCCTTGAACACTTCCAGGGATGGGGCAGCCACAGATTCTCTGGGCAACCCGTTCCAGTGTCTCACCATCCTCATAGCAAAGAAATTTTTCCTAGTGCCTAATCTAAATCTCCCCTCTGTCAGCTTAAAGCCATTCCCCCTTGTCCTGGGGGCTGCTGCTTTCTGTCTGAGCTGTGCCCAATGTGGTAGTGCCCTGATATGGAAAGAAATAGCCCTCAGGTCATAGTGTTATATAAAAGAAATTGCAAGTTGTGGTAACTGTTGGTTCAGCATGCTCCATATGGTCTGCAGGCGAAGAAGACAATGTGTAAATGTCATTGGCCTCACTTGACAGACTGAGTCTATGTTAATTCATCCTCAACTTTTCTGTAATCACTTCTGGTGGTTTTGAAGTGTGCCTAAAGTTTACCTGTTTGTCTGGTAAGACTTCAGATGTGCACTGCTGTGCCATCTGCCTGTGGTATGTGCGTGAAGAACTGTGGCTCCGTAGAAATTGTCAGCTGTGCATTAATTGGATGTTAAAAATGTGTTAAGGTACATTTCGCTTAGTTTTTCCTGGATTAACTCATTACTATTTCAAGATCCATTTTTTTAAATATTTTTAAGACATTTTAACTAATTTTCATATTTTTATTACCAGCTTCATTAAAAAGAGTAATATTGAAACAGAACAAGTCTCGCATTTTCTGTTTTCTTTAGTATTTTTTGAAATGCCTCCCCAGAATTATCTTTATTTACAGTGCATTCTGTTCTGATGAGAATGTACAAGAAACGTTCCTTTCACGTTTTCTATATCCTGATGTTGGACATCTGTTTAAGTATCAGTTGGGATTTACTGATAAACCACGTCTGTTTAAGTATCAGTTGGGATTTACTGATAAACCACGTGGTTTTAAGTTTTTAGTTAATGAAAACTAGTAAGAGTTTAGTTTTGGTTTGGTTTTGCCTTTTTTTTTTTTTTCCCCCACGCCTGAAGAACAGTGCACTAAGCAGAACTCTTTTTCTAGAAGATTTGCAAGGATTTTCATAATGGCTTGCTGCTAGTTTAAAATGTCTAAAAAAGACATGGTTGGGGGAGAATAGGGGTGAATTCCTTCATTTGACCTTTAATGAGCGTTTTACAAGGTACTTGCCTTGGAATGGCTCAGGCTAACAAGTTCTGCACTGGGCATCTCTTCTGTAACCAACTTAATTGCGTATCTGGTACGTGATCTTGATTTCTCTTTGAATATTATTCTCTTTTCTGATGGCTTTCATGCTTTTGAAACACTTTTTCAGTAGTGACCTGAATTTATGGATTGTCGTATTTCTTCAAGCTACTCTTCTGATCATTTCAGCTTTCGATGTTTTATTGTCACCCTGGCAGCGCGATCAGGATCTATGAAGCTGACCATCCTGTTCTGTGTCCATGTACCCTGGCTTATTTTGACTTTCTCTTTCACAGAGCTGACGCATGTCTTCTTACTGACTTCAGAACTAAAAGTAACACAGTGAATACTGTGGAGAGGGAGTAAAAGCTGTAATGGATATGCATTGGGTTCTTCTGCACATATGTAGAAGAAGGTCCAGCTAGCAAGCCAGAACCAAAGAAGCTGTGGAATAAGATTGCTCAGAGAAGCAGAAGGGATATAGTATATTCATCTGGAGTTTTTACTGGAGGCCATGTCCACCCAGGATTGAAAGGTGAGATTTCCTGTGGGTTTTTTATGTCGTTTTTGATTTATCTGTTTGATTCAAGGAAGACAGTTGTCTTTAGTGTACATTCTATGAAAGTTATATGAAGAAGCACGTGTGTTAATTTTCTTCAGTTTAGTCACTTAGAATGTGGTTTTGGGGCAGTTATAGTGATTGAATGTCTTTGGAACATAAGTTTCCAAGGAGATGACTCTTGCCTGACAGCTTAGTGAAGAGAACTGGGGAGGTGCAGAGACTGAATAAGATGCTTGATAATTGGAGGCAGCCTGAAGTGACAGAAAGGATCATGACAAGATCCTCAGCAGGAGGCTGAAGTCAGACAAATACAGAATAGAAACAGATAGGAAGAAGGAAGTATTTGAAAAACAGCTTGAAGATGAGATAATTACTTGATGCTTTTAAATCAAGATTATACAGATTTCAGCAAATACCACCATTGTTCTAGCTAGGACATTCTTTACTATGGTTTGCAGGTGATGTCCAAACTGATTAAAGTAGTATTCCCTTCTAGCCTTTTCTTCTCTGTTTGGATCTGATAGGAAAGTATTGTTTATCCGGTTTAAATTGTGGTGTGTAAGATTATAGCTGGCAATTATAGGTGAGGAGAAAAGCCACAGCAAGGATAGAAATGAGGAAAACATGAGGAAAACAGTGTGAATTGTCTTAAATGCTTTAGACACAGTGTTCCTCTTGCTATGTTTTAAATGGGAATTATCTGATGGTGGAAGGCACAGCACGTTGGAGGGGAGAGGTAGAGACAAAGTGCTAGGAATGGCACCATTCTGAAATGTTGACCTGATTCTGAATTTCACTGGTGAAATAGCTATTTTCTGGAACCACTGACAAAAGGTAGGGGTTTCATGTTAACTAATTTTCTGAGTGTGATGTTTAAGTGTTTGCTCTTCGGGTGGTTGCCAGAAAGGCTCCTAATGCTGCTCTGTTGGGGAATATGGGTTATTAAATGTTATAAAAGATTTACAGTTGGTGTTCTGGATAGTATCAGGAGTACAACCTGAGCTTTATTTGTAGTATCATCTAAAATTTAATGCAATTAATTCCAGTGCATAAAGTGACTATATTTGCAACTATTTCCCTTGTCAGTCAACCTGATTAATTAGCCTTCATGCTATTGATTCTCTGTCGGATATCTAAATATACACAAATGACAACACAAAGATGTTTTGGTGATAATAGGTTTTGTGATTTTTTTGTTGGTTTTCTGTTGGGTTTTGTTTTTCTGGCTCCAACTTCCCCCTTCTATTTAATAGGTGATCTTTTAGCACGCGTCTCTTGGTTGATATTCCTTCTATCAAGGTTTGTTCCATGAACCTGTAAGGTCTAGCTTATAGGCAAGAAAAATACCGCATATGTTTTTGTGACTGTACTTGAGCTTTCTTTTACAAGGGGTAGTCAACAATCTGTCAGTAGTAAACTCTGATTTGTGGCAGGAGTAGAGCAGCAACACCTTCTTGGCATCATGAACTAATGAAAGCTTGTATAGAAAATTTAACAAGTTGATCCTGTTGTCCTATAGGTTAATATTCTGGGTATTATCTAGGCAGTAAATTATTTTTGTGGAGGAAACAGGGTTAGAATTGACCTAGTTAGAAAGTTTAAACTACTTTTTATGCAACTGTTTTAGCAGCATGTCTCAAAATAGCATTAATTTGCAAAGTCAAGTGATGACACAGAAGAGACACAGAAAAGGCCATTTGCATGAGCTTTTGTTCTATGTATTTGCTTCTTAAAGGTAGAAAAAAAATTCTCAATTGTTCCACTGGATTGGATTGTACGCTACTGTCAGGTATAAAATAAAATCTAATTTTTATGGGAAGTATTTTTCTCACCAGTTGCTCTGTTCATTAGTGAATGGATAGTACTCTCCTGTCTTTATTTGTAGGTAATAAATAGCACATCTGTTCAGATAATCAAAACCAGGGTGTCAGGGAAATGCTTGAGTCTTCACACGTGCTCAACTTCCAGAAAATACATTTGTGAGCAGCATGACCAATACCAAGAAGACTTAGATATTTTATTGTGAGAGATGATCTTGGTCCATAGCTGTCATCTGAGAGCAAAGAGAAAAGGTTCTAGAAATACTATCTTACCAGCTGCATGGTTTTGCATAAGTTAAAGATCTTTATCGGTTATTTCCTGTCATTACTGTGTGGATATTCTAAGGGTGGCAATCTGGTTTTTGTTCTGTGCCTTTTTTGTTTTTTCAATCTCTTGCTTTCACCATTTGAGGTTACTTTCTCCTCCTTGATCCAATGAAAAAACTCAACCAAAACACAACCACCAACACAAAACCCCTGGTTTGTCACCCCAACTGCCTAACAAGTTATGCAAGAGAATTTATGTGAATTTTAAGTCATTTCAGCCAGTTATGTTTTCAGTCTGAGTTGAACATTTCTGTATTTAAATGTTGTCCAGTTTCCATCCATAGCTTAAGAATGGAGGGAAAAACAAAACAAAACAAACCAACCAGAAAACCCCAAAACAAATCACAATCAAAAAAACCCCTGTGTATATGGCGAATCTGGTTTTAGATTTAATTTTTGGACTTTCTGAGAGAGGAACACCTCAAGTCTAGGACACGTGTTGCTCTTTATTTCTGTGGAAATACAAAGTGGCACAAGCGCTGAAGTGTTTTGGCCTGCAGGTGTGCTGCTGGGGTTGGGGATTGTGCTGTGTTAGGTACTCTCTCTTGGGTTGTCATTTTCTGATCAAGTTACAGCAGTGCAAGCAAGATGAAGTCTGCCTGTGCGTGTTGCAGAAAGCTGAGGGTTCTCAGGACTTGCTTAGGTTCATTTAAAAAGAAACAATTTGCAAGCCTTGATGATGTTTCTTTGTGGGTGAAAATGTAAATGTTGTTGAATTATGTGCACTAGAGAAAAACAAAGGGGTTTGTGGATGTAGTATGTTTCCAACGAATGGAGGAATATAACTGAAAGAAGGTTTAACAACAAACTCCAAGAATCTAAGTCCAAGATGGATTTTGAGTGAAGGTCATTCTGTTTTGCCTCTGTTTCTTTTTTGATTATGATTGATACCTACATTTAATTTTTCTTCAATATAAGATTTTTCCCCAATAAAATAGGCTAATATGTCATGGCAAGTCCATATCTGTATGAAGTCTCTCTGATGGTTTTCTTTTTTTCCTTCTGGGTATTCCTTTCAGGATGTACAGGTGAATCTTTGAATCTGTTAAGTTTTGTTCCTTTTTTTGTGATATTTTTAGTGCCCAGACTTCTAGGTTGCATTACGGGTATTCCAAACAGGTCTTTCTGTAGATCTGTTGTTGGTATTGCTCTTATTTATTAGCACACTAGTGCAAATAAAAATCATACTTAAGAAACTGAGAGTTGCAACAAACTTTGTAGGTACTGTAAGAACTTTCTCACTCACTCTCCCTTTTCTTCTCTCACTCCCTGACTGCAGTGATAAGCTATGGGGGCAAAAAATTCCAGTTACTCACTTATATGTAGCAACTTGTTTAGTGTGGAGCAGACTCCACTTTTTATGCTGAGAGTTCTGGTTTTGTCATCACATAACACTTCCATAAAATTTATGTCCCAGGAAGTACTTCTCTCTGCAGCTGAACCAGAGTCTATTTCTGCAGTCAGATGGTACTCATTATAATGTGGATATTTTAATGGTTATCTTGCATAAAATTACTGCATTATTTTTCTGAGATCCTCATTTAATCTCAGGTCTGCTCTACCAAGTGTAGCACATGAATTATAAAACTCACATTCACTGTTTTCTTCCATCATCAAAAGCCATCACTTATACTTGAGAGCAGAAGTAGCACCAAAACTAGACTCTTCCTACTTATTTAGCACAGAATGATCTAATGGCTGGAGATAGCTGTTCAGCTTTACCTTCCACCAGTTTCAACTTCTAATTTAAAAAAAAAAAACAATAAAACCCAGCCTTTGGATATGGAAGCTCCCTTATTGTTTCTTTCATCCCTAATTTTATTCAAAAAAATCTTTAAAGAGAAAAATCTGTTATGAGTACTGTCTCTTTTACAGGCTTGAAGATGTAGTTTCATCTTCAGTTGGTTATAGAAACACATCTTAGTGAAACCATCCCAAGTAGTGGATGATAACGTATTAGTACTGCATTTATTGGTATATAGATTGCACTCTCCTTCCGTATTCCCATCCCCAAGCTGGCAGTCACTTTAGAATTACGTACAGGTTTCCTGGAAACTTCTTATTTCTTAGCAGTGGCACCTATGCTGACGTCCGGAAGCTTTATTTGAATCAATAAATGTAATGAATAGTAAGATTAATTCTCCCAGCACTCCAAAAATCTTTTGGCAGTTACATTAAACTTTCAAACCTTGTGTAAATTTATCAAGCAAATTTATTTAGTGGTCTTCATTTATGGCTTGCTTGGACAATATCAGAATGTAATAAAAACATCTTTCAGGAAAAAGGAGGGGTGGTGAAGGAGCAGGTGGCCGGTGTCACCCAACCCAAAGTCATAGGATCAGCAAAATGCTGTACATTGTTTCTAATGTGCTGCATTTAGAAAGAGAACATTTAATGAACTCACTTTAGGGGATGGGATTTGTTTTGTAATTTTTCTTTTGTCTATTCAGAATAAGCTGTTTCATCTTTTCTTTAAGGAAACTTGCTGTATCATGTAGGGAGTCAGGTATAACCAGATAAAGTGGCATTAAAAAACCTGATAGAAATTTCAAGGTATGTCAAGGATTGTTTTCTCTTTCAGGCAGATGAATATTATCAACTTATGTCCAGCCTGAAATGGTCAGATTTTGACTGAGTCACAGAATCACAGTAACTCAGTCTTTCCATTTCTAGTTTAAGTCCACAGGCTCTTCTTGAGTTGTACAAGAAAGAAAAGTAGGTCTTTCTGACTTGAGAAAAATATGCACATGTGAATGAGTTGGTTTGAATATGCTGCTTTGCATATGTAAAATAATCAGTAGCAGAAGGGAATAGTAAAAAATCCTG